CTTCAAATCCGAAAATCTCTTCCTGTGTTGTTGTGGTCTATCCAAACTTTGAATGGATTTAGAGATAAATCAAGAAGAATTTTGTGAAATTTGGAGATAATCGGCGGCAAAAGGAAGAAACCCATTTTTTTGGGAAGCTAGGGTCCGACAGAACCCTGGGCTTTATTTTTATTTCAACTTACAGACAAAACGACGTCGTTTTGCTAGTTCTCCATCTTAGCCCTTCATGCTTTACATTTTTTGTGAAATGGTCCACGAACTTTTACTTTTCTCACTTAGCCCCAATTAAAATTGGGTTATGACAATATTTTATTGGATAAACGAAACTAGGCATACTAAAATTGAATGGAGAGAGTATTAAAAGACTAAAAAATCTATGACTACAGCAAAGCAATCCAAAGAATAACATGCCATGAATAAATAATAGTTGCTATTTGAAAATACTCAAAAGATTTTACAAAAGAGATTAGTGTATTTCAACCATATCTTTAAAATATTAGAAGAAAAAACACCCAAAACCATGTCGTTTTCTTGAAGTATCACAGCAAAAGACAAAATAGTCTCATTTTTGTTTTAAAAATATGTTATTTTAGTCTTTTTCAATGGGAATTTATAATTTAGGGATGTTTTCCCTCAATTTCTAGAAATCCAGCTTATAAACACTTTTCTCTTAATAGAGATAGTTAATCTCTTAAACTAAAAATGATCTTTCCAAATTTAAAGTTTGTCATACCAAATGCATAAAAATTTTGTACCCAACAACACAGACCAGAATCATCTAGATGCACTTGTGGTATATCAACAAGAGCTTACCCAAGTTGGCACCCTCTAATTTGTAGGGTCAAGGTTAGACGTTCAAATCTTTACAATGCCAAACAGTTACAATTTATAGATTTTAATTATAATTCATCTTAGGTTGCAATTCATTCCACTATTGCTTGTTTGCATCAAGAACACTAAGGAAAGTGAAAAAATCAAAGCTTATACTGTGAATCTGTGATGAAGTTGATATCCTTTTAATTAAAAATGTACTGCTATGCATACAAAAATTTCACGATGAGATTCAAGTTGAAATAATCATTATTTTGGAAAGCAAATTAAAATGTTGTGATTATGATCAAGAAGATGAGGCACATGTATGCAAATGAAATTTCTAAGAAAGTTATAGCATCAACAAAATTTAACCCGTAATCTAACCAAAAGTAAGAAAGGAAAAAGATACATCTTATGGTGGATAAGAGTTTGAGCATCTATATTCAAGATTTCAATTGGTTCAAATCTTAATATGAGTGGGGAGAAATTTTAGAAAAATCAGTGATGTAGCTTATCATGTACCAGAAAAAGCAAAAAAAAAAAAACCCACTAATCTAGCAATATGAGAGGGGAAGAGATTTAAAAATAGTTATAACTTATTGTTCAGTAACATATCATTAGTGCACCATCAAACGTAGAAAAAAAAAAAAAAAAAGAGCCGCTAATCTGGGGACATACCTGCTCACCATCGGAAGGCGGAACAATTTTCTGCCTCGTTGACGTAGTGGGTATCCCCACATGAATTTTGTATTGCCATTCTAAAGGGTCGTCTTCCAAGCGATAAAGTGAGATAGTCTCTCCGGGCCTAAGACCCTTAGACCTAACAAATATCAACCAGCCCCAGCTGACTATGAAGCCAGATACTGCTGATCGAATGGATCTAAACGTCCACTCTTTTCCCTTTTCGTCTCTGACAAGAAATTCATGTTGGAGGGAGGCAGTAAATCGAGCGTACAGCAGTCACGTGGGACTTTCAGTCTCTTGGTAACGTCCGACCGAGTTAGCGTCTTTCTAAAAATCAAATTTTCCATTGTTGACGAGTTGGACGGGGTTCTCTAACTCTGGGATTTGAAGAGAAAGATGTAGCTTTGTGCAGTTGCCACCGACTGGCCAACAAACCGTTTTACGTTCAAAACGGCAGAATCCCAAAAATTCTCTGTTTCAGAAACCCTAAACCGATTTCCAAAAAGCGAAAACAAACAATAAGAAGAAGAAATTGACTGAAAAAGGCAAAAGAAACCAAACAAGATGCGGCCGTGCAAAGAGCTCCCTCGAAACGTCCCTCCCTAAACCGACGGCCAAAAAACAAACAAAAAATTTTTTTACTCGAGGAGGGGAAGAAACCAGATATGATGTTGGACAAAGAGCCCTAAGCTCACTGGCTTAACCCCTTTAGCCCCCTTGAACTTATTGTCGTTGAGGGTTTTTGCCCCCAACATATAATATATAAAAATTGACCCTGAACAACACGATTTTTTTTTACTGACCTTTTGCATCCTAAGGGAAGATTGAATACCAATTAATTTAAAATAAGTTAAATTAAATTTACAATAAAATTTTTTTTAATATTAATTTTTTATTTATAAGATTAAAATTTATAATTTTATTTAAAAAATTTAAACTTTTTTCTCAAAATAATAAGAAATTGGGGAACAACACAATATTTAAAGTAAATTATTGGCCTAAAATTGACGGAGAGATTCCGTCCCTATTCCGTCATCAAATAATGTTCTGTCAATATCAAATAATCCCGAGGTAGAACAGAAAGGAATTTTGGATAAATAGAGGAAAGAGACAGCTGAGAGAGACTAGCAAAAGTTGAGGATTTTTGGAAGACTTATAACTCAATTCATGTTAAATTCTTTGAAGGATCCTAAAACACACAACTGTTATATAGAGAACAGAAAATTTTAAAAGATTTCAAAATCTCAAGTTCTCCATCCTGTCTCAAATTAATTCCTAAACGCTTATACTATCTAGGAATCATTAATCAATCCGTAATCAAAATATCAAATTCTCCATGCTTCAATTGTTCACTTTCTCTACTCTGATTTAATCTTAGGTTGTAATTCGTTCCCCTATTGCTTGTTTTCATCAATAACACTACTTAGAAAACTAACAAATTAAAACATATGGCGACATGCCTGCCCACCATCGAAAGCCGGCAACTTCTTCGGATTTGTATCTCCCACATTAGTCCTACTTTTCATCCTCATTATGATTTTCTTGTCCAACTCTCAAAATTCACTAAATATTTATAAGAACAGGAAAAATGAAAATTCTGATTGAATTAGAATTCCGAGGAATTAATAATAAAACCAGTCTTACCCTAAATAGAACTCTTAAATCTTTCAGAATATGGAACATGAAAGGGGCCATTAGGAGGAAAGCAACACTATTTACACAGCAATATAAAGCCAGTCTTGCAATTCCTTGTGACATTACATCTCTTAAAAAATATGCCCTGAATCTCAAGTGCTGGGCTTACATCACTTAAATTTCGAAGAAATGCAACTTGCGAGGTTCAACACTACTTTACATAAAACAAACTATCAACCAAATTCAGAAGCTTAAGTTCCGCACCACCTCTGTGACCTCATCTGATATTTGAGCAACCAACAACACCAATGTCATGGTTCTGCATTTAATCCTAGATTTATGGTGTAGATCCAAGAGCTGTCACTCATCCAATAAAAGGCAATGAGAATCCAAAAATCTGTAGAATATCAGTAATACAGCTCTGTTAAACTACAAGGAGTATGGAATCATTAGACTTAATGCAAATATATCATCTCTTGTTCATTCCTCAGATTAAAGATTATAGTATCATTTCATTTAGGATATGAAAATAGAGTACAGTAGCAGGAGATTTTGAATTAATGCACACTAGATGATGAGGATGTTACTTTTATCCATTCATTTCTAATTGTGCAAAGTTAGTTGTTTGGCAAATTGAGCCTAGATATAAATATACTGATACAAGCAAACACTAAATAAAAAATGCCTTGAATTGAACAGAAAATTACCAAGGTATGCAATGCCTTCGATGGACTTATATGTCTCTTCCATTTGTGTCATGACATGATCATCTTCATCGATTGGGGAGAAAATGGTATGAAGATAATCAAGGTGATTCCCCCACTCTGATTCTTCCCACTTCAATGCTTTCCACCACTTCCTTTCTCCTTTGATCACTTCTAAATTTTCACTTGATAATTCCCTTTTACAAAGATCCCTAAGCTCTGAGCAATCATAAAAGCCTATCATTTTCAGTTTTGGTGCAATGTGAAATTCCCTAGAAATGCTTTCCAATTTTGGAAGGAAAAGAAGCAGCATCATTTTCAAACGAGGAAGAAAACAATCTGATGCAAACTTAAATGATGCATTGCTTTCTCGGCTTACTATGCTGATCAATTCAGGGCAGTCTTTAACAATAAGCACTTCCAATTTTCCAAGATTTGTAAGCAAAGTTGGTGACAAAATGACTTCCAACTTCGGGCATGTATGGAGTTCTAGGAACTTCAAGGCAGATAGACATGGCTTATCATAGGTGGGGTTGCTCCAAATGCTCTCTAAATGTTCCAGGTAATAGATATGCAAGAACTGTAGATTCAAAAGTGCAGGTTCTTGTGCAGAATATGATTCACAATTGGTTGCCTCACCTTCAACCATATCAGTTTGTTCTTCTTCATGAGGCTTTCCACCATCTATGATGGTCTGGATTTTATTACATTCTGCCAATAAGCAGAACTCTAGGTTCTCCATATTCTCAATCCCGAAATCACACAAGCTTCTAGCAGAGGTATGACGTTCGAGGTAGAATGCTTTTGTGTATCCAACTACCCTTTTCATCTCACTTGAGATATCACTGCCCCTAACAAACTTCAAGCATTTGTCCCACTTTTCAAAGTGAGCTTCAACTTTTTCCGGTACTCGAGAGAAGATGCGCTGTCTATGCTGCCCAATAGTAAACCTGAATGAAGACAAGGGATAAAAATTCAAAGATGTGCTTCCTGCCCTGCGTTTTCCCAAAATCTGAACATGTGGCAGGTATAACGTGAGGGACTTCAATCTTTTCAAGCTACAGGCTTCCTCCACAACAACTTCCTCAACTGCGTTCCATCCTTCACTATCTGGATTCACATCAATTTTTAATTCAGTCAACTTAAAGAGACTTTTAATGGTCCCAGGTTGAATTAATACATTTTGCCGCAACTGCTTTCCACAGTTCATGCATTCATCAAGCGAAAATTTCAAAATTTCTAAATTGGACAGCATTCCAATCTCTTTTGGCAAACCCACAATCTGAGTGTCATCAAGATCAAGCTTCAGGAGATTATGAAGCTGCCCAATTTGGGGTGACAATTCCACGAAGAGCTTACAACATCTTAGAATGAGGTTTTCAAGTGAATCCAATTTGAAAAGAGATACTGGCAAAGACCTGACGCTGGTATGCGACAAATTCAAAGATTTCAGGACAGGCATTCGATTGAAGAACGAAGAAGGGATGGTCCTTAGGGCTTTGCATCCTTCAAAGGACAGCAAACCCATAAATGGGCAGTTTGGAGATTCTGGAAGAACAGGTTTACAATCAGTCAAAAAGATCGCATTGGCATGCCATTCCTCTCCTTCTGGCATCTCTTCCTTCACTGCCGCCCTTTGCTTAGAACTTGCATTGGTGTCTCTTTCAACACTAAATGGCAATTTATCCTCCGGTTCTTGGTCGCTTTCATCCTTTGCTACAATTTTCTCCTTCTTGTGCTTGAATGACCGCTCCATAGATGGGCAGTTTGGAGATTCTGAGAGAACAGGTTTGCAATCAGTTAAAAAGATTGCATTGGCATGCCATTCCTCTCCTCCTGGCATCTCTTCCTTCACTACCACCCTTTGCTTAGAACTTGCATTGGTATCTCTTTCAACACTAAATGGCAATTTATCCTCCGGTTCTTGGTCGCTTTCATCCTTTGCTACAATTTTCTCCTTCTTGTGCTTGAATGACCCCTCCATAGATGGGCAGTTTGGAGATTCTGAGAGAACAGGTTTGCATATCTTTGTGTCTGCCGGATGCAGTGCACCATAAAGGAAGCATCCCTTTTTGTTTTCATCTTTCAAGTCATCATAACAAAACTTCCAGAATGCTTGTATTTGTGTTAAATGTGGGATCCCAACTTCAGTACCATTTCTGAGCTCTTCCAGGCCATTCCTCCATTCAGTAGCACTGTTTTTCAATTTAAAGTAACTGGCCACTGAACTTATCACAAGGGGGAGTCCACCACACTCCTTGGCAACCCGCTGAGCAACTGGTTTAATGCCAGGAATTTTAATTTTTTGATCAGTTACTATCTGTTTAAACATCTCCCACGCCTCACGTTGAGTTAATTTTTCAACCTCTATGTTCCTCACTAATTTCATCTTAGAGCAAACTCTAAGATCTTCAGTTGTTAATACCACTTTACTACCATTTTTGTTATCTGGGACACCAATATTACTCAGCTGATCATGATCAATGACACCCTTGACATCATCTAGGAGGAGCAAGTATTTTCTATCTTTCAACTCTTCTGATATGCTTCTAGCAACTTCGTGGGCAGTTTCAGTGCCTTGCAAATTCAATTTAAGCCGACTTGCTATCTCCATCTGCAGCTTCTCTATAGTCCTCTCCTCTGATACCGTTATCCAAATTACCATTTGAAACATCTTTTCAACCTCTTCATGATTATTCAAGTTTTGCATTATTGTGGTCTTCCCGACGCCCAGTGGCCCCCAAATCACAATGGTCTTCACTTCTTCACAACTTAGCAACAATAGTATCTCCTCCAAATGTCCTTGAAGTGTGGCAGTTGCTTTGATGTCTGGTACTGATCCCAGCTTTATAACAGGTTCTGGAGGTTTATCAATCAAAAAACCTTGAAATTTCCCCTCTTCCATAAGCTTTTGGACTCTTTGCAAAATATTTGTCACTTTTTCCCAAAACTTTGATCCAATGGCACACTCTATCAATACATTCCTTTGTTGTTCATATTCAGCTTGTATTGTTTCCAGCTCTGGAAGAATTTTGGTCACACTACCAAGCCACTGGTTGTAACAGCTAGAGGTAGTTTTGGTTTTATTTTGCCGGATTTCCTGCTCATTATCATCTCTTAAAGCCCGTAGCCTCTCTGCTTCTTCTTTCAATATTGACTCAAAATTATCCTCCGGTTCTAATCTGTTTAACAAACCATTATGTTCTCCAACATAATTCGCTACTCCTTCCACACAATCAGATAATAGATTCCCAGTGGCATTAGCTAGTTCATTGGCCAGAAAAGGGTCCATCGCCATGATCAAATTCAAAACTTGAAGCCTGCGGTTTGTTTAGAAAAAGAAAATGTTAAATGCCAGTTCAATAGTTGTAATTAATAGTCCACGGGAACTCTACAAATTAGACAGTGTTGTACTGTTATTTAATGATTTAAATCCAGATGAAGCTATACAACATTCAGAAATAAACATTTTTAGTGTAAACTCCAGTATTAATTAATTTCAATCGAAAATGATTTGAGGACAATTTTAACATACAAATATTTTTTCTACAACCATACTTATCATTAAAAAGTTGATTTTTACACTTTACAAGACTATAATATTATATATCTCTATTAATTTAATGATATGTAAAAGTAAAGTTATTTTAATAATATATCCTTTCCTTATGCGGTTCCATGTTGGAAATTAAGAAATTCCCCTTTGATCTTTGATCTTTGATTTCACCATTGGAAATAAAATTCCCACTACATGCTTTGATACCAATTGTTGGGATTCGACTCATTAAAGAATTATGTAAGTGAATAATAACAAAATAAAATAATAAGAGGAAAATACTAATTTAACGTGGAAAACCCTCAATAGGAAAAACCACGAAGTAAGATAAGAAATCTACTAATTAAGAGAGAGAGGAGTTACAATATTAGATATTAGAAGACCCCTCTCAATCTCTTCTAAGTACTCCTAATCTTTCAAAAAACTCCTCCAGATTCTTCTTACATCTCTGTCTCTTCGCTCACCACTCATCACCCCATGGGAGGTGGGATTTCAACACCAAAGGTGTGTCTCCACCACTCATCTCAGGTTTGCCAATAACAAAAATTCAAGCCCTAAGAGTTGCGAGGATCCCAAAGTTCCTTCTAAGGTTAGGAAACTAAATCTCACTAAAACTCCATAAGATCTTTAAGATCCTTGAATATTTGATTCAGGCACTTGTTAATTAGAACTCCCAAATTGACTTGAATTTAAGTTAGGAAACAAAGTGAAGCTGCCAATTCTTTGATAAGGTGTTGACACTACACATCTCGAAACAAGGCTGCAGCCATGCCCCCAATTGAGGGTCCAGAACCTCGACCAAGGTTTGGAACCTTTTTAGCTACTGTTTTATACCTTGCTTCTGCGGTGTCAGCATCTTGGTCAAGATGTCAACGCCTTGCTTATTCAAGGCAAACTTCAACTTTGATAATTCAAGGCACATTCCCAACATTTCTCATCCCATATTTTGATAATTTATGAGACTACTTCTTTTCAAATCATCTCAAATATAATACTTTGCTCCCATCGCATTATTATTGTCATTTGGTAATTTGTCTCTGACTTCTTTTAAAGCTTTTCACTTTGTATATTTTCTATTACAAATCTCAAATCCTTATTTGTTATCGAGACACTTCAATAAAAATTAAGAGAAATAATTAATGCCAAGATCAAACAAGAGACAAACAAACCTGTGAGATGGTGGAGGAGCTCTTCAGGCTTTTTATATGGGGGTATGGTTGAATTTCAGCAGGGGCTCCGTTGTGGGCGTCAGTGGTGGGCATCGAACAGCCATGGAGATCGGTGCTGCAGATTTAGAGATGAAAATTGAAGCATGTAGCTAGACACGGTTTGCAATTTGCAACTTTACGAGTGATGGTAGAGGTTGACTGAAGTTGCCTGGTTAGAGAAAGTCTTCTGGGCACTTTCGAGGAAGCTGCATATGAATCTTCTTCACAAAAATGGAATTTCTCAGCCGGCCAATTGGCGGTGTATGCGTGAGAAAGAGTGCCTTTATTCATACAACGAGAAAAATAATAATAATAATAGCCACCGACAGAATTAATAAAAAATATATATATATTATGTAATTTAGACCATTTGTATTTAGTTATTAAATAAAAATATTATAATTTTATAATTTTTATTTTTATTTAATAATTTTTATTTTATAATATAATACAATTTAAATAATAAAACAGAGGCAAAACATAAGTTAAGCTCCTGAACTAACCCCAGAATCGCTATTAAGACCCTAGACTTTAATTAAAGCAGTTAAGCCCTTGAACTCTGGGATAAAAGCAATTAAGC